AACGCGAGATCTGTTATTTGGATTAGCACCTGATTGCATGGAATCTGCGTTTTATAAATACTGCACCCCTGGCGCCCCCATCATCCTTATCTGCAACCGTCTCTGATGCTCGGTTGGAGCGAGAACCTGGAAAGTCAAACCAATAAAATGCACGTCCCAGCGATCGCATTTTCTCGTTAAACGGCCCGCCTACTTGCGCCACAAACGACCTGACTCCCTCTTCGTGTAGCCTATTAGACAGACTTAATGCTTCTCCACTTTTTAATACTGACGCCGGCATAATCGACCACATTTTTGATATAGATGCGATGCATGTGTGCGGCATGAGTGTAGGTGTGTGTTACTGAGTGAGTTCATGTGCTACGCAGGGCGTGCGCAAGTGGTTCGACCAATGGTGGGGGATCTATGTACAGTGAGACGTTTTAGTGAAGGTTTTGTTTGATGCTCATGTGACCAAATGCATGCACTATGGTTAATACACACCCAGTGGCAGTGTGGACGGGTCGGGTGAAAATGGTGGGAGGCTTCTAGCACTAGTTCGCTGGTCGCAGCGCATTAACCGAATAGACCGATGTATTATGTGAACGTGCAGCCACAATGTGGACAGGTTGGAACTGAGTCCACACTAGAGGCCTAGATTTAATCATCCATTGATTTGTGTTAAATCCCTTCCCCACTTTTCCTTCTTGTACTCAAGGTTACATGTAACGTCATTATTGACTATTCGCCGCTTTGCATAATGACCTTGCAGTTGTGTATTGATTCTGTGCAAATTCAAACTGTTGCGTACACTACTCGTTATCTATTTCATGCAAAGGTGGGTAGCAGTTGAAAAGCCGTCTCAAAATTTTTTTTGCAAATAAATTCTGCTGTATACGCTTGTTTACACTTCGTACCTGGGAAACAATACTTTAGATATACTCAAGAAAGCAAGCAGCATGACTGCCGATTAGTTTTTCATCATCTTGCCTACTGATGCTGGATTTCGGTAAAGTTTGCTGCTTCCACTTCTCCTGCCAAATTCAACAAATTCAGCAAAAAAATTATGTAGTAATTTTGATGAAGTGGCCACTCATCACATCAGATACATGCATACCTGCTGGTGTCAAACTGAAGCACGAACCGATGTTTGTCCAGCATAATTAGAAAAGGGCCGAATAAATAACGTAATTAGCTCTATTCTCGAACATAGTAGACACCAGTCATCGCGTAAATACCCGAGAGGCCTACTCAGTGATTTACAAGGTCCCCTCAAGCTGCTCAAAATACCTTTTACAGTGTCTGTTGGCTTAGGCAGAAGCCACTGCAACCGGCTTATGCTAACTGGTCCTGTATACGCAGAAGAACTTACAGGCGCCGCAGTTACAAAGGCCAAAAACCACCAACGGAGATAATTACCAGTCCTGGCGGCCACCGTCGCCCTGACGCCGACCAGAAGACCGACCGCAATCTTATTTCCTCCCTCTCGTCCCCCCCCCACACCATAGGAGCCGCATGATTTTTTCTGCTTGTCCCCATATTTAACTTATAAACATAGGGGTATAAATGCAAAGGTTTCATGAGAATTTATCGAAAGCAAACATATGTCCGCCAAATTGTCGTTTGCGTCGTGAAACAAGTTAAAAGTAGGTTACCCCCGAAAAACAATTGTGAACGATGTTGCCAATCAGAAACTGTTGCGAGTACGTCGGTTCCTGGTTCCTCTGCCGCATTAATAAAGTCAGGACAGCACAGAGTAGATTTCCTTCAAAAACTTTTTCTTTTAAAAGGACAGTATTTTCACATCGTTTTAATAACTTATCTGGTTGTACGGAGTAAATTCAACGATTTAATTGACGTCTACAATCAAACTTCATTAGATGTCTCCTGTTGGCCGAGTTAACCTGTGTGTTCTTCATTAAAAGTGGTTATTTATGGGTATGATACCTCGGCCTCTAAACTTATAAAGTAATCAAGTGGAGACCTCCAAATTTTCACACTTCCTTATCAATTAGACTGAATTTTTATTTATCTTATTTCAGACTTAATCCAAAGTAACCATTCAACTTCCTTAAATGCAAAAGCACTGAGCTTCATTAAAAGGGGAAACGTCTTTTTGCAAACACGTTTTAGTAGTATTTCGACATTTTGCCGGCCAGGAGACCTTGGATAGTCATTAAGCAGGACAAAAGGCAATATTGTAACTATCTAAATGAGTTTGATCATGAAAAACAGAAGCATGCCACCGGAAAGAGAGACTACTGGATCGCTAGGACTAATATTCTCCAAATGTGTATAATAGGGGAAATGCTTGATAGGAATTTATGGAATAATGATTACTGTTTCTTTTTCCATGTTAAATTACCTTGACTCCTTTTCCTGTACTTACCTAAAATATAAAACTTCATGGCTCACTGCTATAATTAAAAGCTATTATATTTTCAATGAACAGCGGTGCTTGGGGAGAGTAATCGTGGACAAAAGAAAGTAAAGAAATGGCACAGACTAACCGTGCTTACTTTTAGGATGTTAATTCAGCTTAACTTGCTTAAAGCATCAAACTGACGCTGACTCTCAAGAGGCTCATTTCGAGCGCCTGACTTACACTCCTTTTCGGCTTAATGTTATTCGCTATTTTCGCCAGCACAAATAATATGCACTTTCGCTTTTCTATTTTGTCAGTGGCTAAACACTTTTATGTCTATCAGCTCATTTACACGACATTTTCTGAATACGGCATAACTGCTGCGGTTTCGATTAGTATTTCCTGTCATAACGATGAAAATTGTTTAAGGATATGTTTATGTGGTAAGAAAAAATGAAGTTTCATCTAAAGCACTCTATTCACCAGGTCGAATTTGGTTATTAATTTTGTAGCTTACGTTTTTTCTTGCAAATACTAACCGGTGACATTTGAATGTCAGTAGGATGCAGTCCTGCCTTCAACTCAAATCCTCGGAAAAAGAAATCTAGTAGTACAGTTAGAGACTAACATCAGATGACACACTGGGTGAGGACCATGAGCAAACTCTGTAAAGCGTTGAAGCTAGGGGTATGTCTATCAAAAGCATCCGCAAATGGGATAAGTTAAGGTAAAATAAATACGTTCACGAGCTGATACTTACATAAAACCCTTATAAACGAGCATTAATTCAAGATAAAAGTTGCAGTTATTTATCGGTTTTATGCTTATAATTATACAGTCTCCGTCCAGCCTCATTATCCTATGAACCACAACACAATATAGCCTGCACCAGCTCACGCACCTGATAATGAAAGTGTAACCATCACAAATTTACCGTTTTTAAATTCTCGCGGAAATATATTAGAAGAAAGGGATTTACTTGCTTATCAACTTGACAAGAATATACTTATTCTTAAAATTGAAAATGTTGGTGCTCACTGTTCTAGGGTAAGTCAAATATTTGAACTGAATCATTTCGCCCTATCAACTTGGTTAAAAACACTGGAACTGGAAACCCTAGTTTCTTCTTTTCGGATACTTATGAAACCCATGGCGAATGTGATTTGGGGGCTGTTTATTTCAAACTTAACTCATTTTATCAGTTTCGTGGAAATAGCTTGAATCAGATGCCTGTCCTGAGTTCTGTACTTCAAAAGTCAATTCTTACTCTCATTCCTCTCTACTGCGGTGGAGATTTATTGGACATGCCTTCCAGTGCAGTTGTGAGGCCTAGATCATCAACTAGAAATAGTCTCTTCAAGATGAGGTTGAAGGATTTTATTTTACCGGTTTTCCTGCGCAGTCAAGCCGATTGCTGTTACGTCATATCCTTCTAACTTTTAACTGTTCTATAATTCTGCAGTTACCTGAACGAAATTTAAATATTTGTTTCCTTTTCCACTGCACCCTGCATCGGAATGATAACCTCACTCGTCGGCCCAAGACTGTCGTCTTGTAGTTCAGAGGCAGAAATCTGTGTAATGAAACGAAACGAATCAAAAGGAAAAGAAGTAACCTGAGTTCCCTGTGTATTCTGATCATTAGCTCTTATACACTGTTGGTAGATGATACTTGCAGAGTAGAGTAAAATTTATTTAGTCTGATACTCTACTTTTGCGCATCGTTGTTTTAGTAACCTCATAAATCTGCTTTTTGGAATGATCTTCACGAATTAATTTCTACTACTTTATGCCAATAATGACAAAATGCCAACACAGCGAAATGTTTACACTCAAAAGCATGTTAAAACTGCATAAAAAATCGTAAAGGAAAATACGTTTTCCCTTGTCTCTTTAAATAATGGGTGCTGGGTTGTGCTGATGTTAAAATGAAACGCGATTTTATAGAATTTATCGAAGAATCGAAAGGACAGAAAAAGCATCGTATTTAAAGCACGTCAGCTTTTCTGAAATCAGTTTTCAAAAGGTCACTTTACTTGCTACGGCGTTGTATATGTTTGGTCAATATTTTGTCCCGAAAACAATTTATTATGGGTCCTCTGTAGAATACGTTTTTCAAACGGGATACGACGATCTTACGGGGGACGCCGAAGAGACTACAACAGTCGAGACTGTTCAGTTCACCGGGGCTATTGTCCTAAAATAACTGTTAGGTCTAAAGGAACCCAAATCTTACAGCCCCGATGAGGTACCGGCGAAGGTGTTGAAGGAGCTCGCCGACGAGTTGGCAAAACCACTCTCTACGCTTTTCCAAGCAACATTCTAGACTGGATTTCTACCAGCCGATTGGCGACCAGCGTGGATTACACCGTTATATAAGGGTAGAAGCCGGATCTCCGCAAACGACTATAGACCAGTTCGCCTTATGCTGCAAAATTATGGAAAAAATAATAAAGCAACAAATAATGCAATTTCTAGAATTAAACCACCTGCTTTTCGATTTCTAGCACGCTTTCGGTAGAGGTAGGATCTGAGTGACAAATTTTCTTTACTGTTTAGGATGCCAGACTAGGGCAGTAGATAGGGGGGAATACGGTGCATGCAGTCTTTATCGACTTCCAAAAGGCCTTTTATAGCGTGCCTCATCATCGCCTTATTTACACACTCAGACGCATGGGAGAAAGAAGTAGGCTTCTGACGTGGATACAAATGTTCCAACTGGCCGCTCTCAAACTGTCCATGTCAATGATAATTAGTCGGCGGAGGATGCGGTTGAGAGTAGTGTTCCTCAAAGTTCCGTTCTCGGCCATACTCTGTTCATTCTTTACGTGAAAGATTTTGTCAGCGGACTGAACTGCGATATCACCATGTTTGCCGATGATATCAAAATTTGGAGTGTCATCCAAACTGCAGTTGATGAAGAGCATTTGCCGGCAAACCTTAACCGACTCCAAACATGGTCGAAGGACTGGCTTTTGCCGTTCAATGAGCGCAAATGCAATATTATACGAGTCGGTAAAACAAGGTCTTCTTACCTCATGGCGACAATACACCGTCATGCGATGCAAGCTAAATATATATGACCCCCTACTGAAACCTCTGCAGTTGTCAACAAGATAAGTTGCAACAATGGGGACAGTAATTACGTTGGATAAACAGGATAAAAATTGTGGACCTGCCTATACGAACGCAAACTGACGACTCGGAGACTAGGCCCAAACACGAAGCTTGCAACACATATCAGAGACTGATCATAACTTTGGTATTCGAGGAGTGGCCATCGTAGACCAAAGAAAGTTGAAAATGGAAAGACTGACGCTGAAGGCATGGTATTCAGATGCCAACTCCGTCAACAGGCATATAGACCTTCCTGCGGCCTGCAACGTCTTGCGCCATTACGTGAATAAAGGACAGGACAAAATCAAACTGAACTTAAGAATTGCTAGCGAAGATTGCTCCGCGAAGAACCAACCGGAAGAGGAAGCAGGATTACCAGCATCCTCTACCATGGAGGCGAAGCACAACACTAACTGCCCTCAATCTATGCCAAAATCCACACAAGGAACCGAGCCGCGAACAAGGAAAAATCCATCAGCCCACGGCCGACACGTACAGCCACAACTTGAAATTACTGAGCGATAATTACAGGTTATGTTTTGATAAAGGAGAGCCGGCTCACCTCTCCGAAACGTCAGCGAACACGTAAACTCATTCCGGTGAACACTGTCATGACCTCTGCATCTTCCTCAGTCATTTTCTTTTGACCGTACAGTGTGTGTGTCTGACCATCGGTTTCGATGATATCAACCTAGTGCACCAACAG